AGTTAAAACAATGTCTTGATGCCGTTACATTGTAATTCATTGTATTAATACATTTATCACTAATTCAATGTGTGGATATAGTTAAAACAATGTCTTGATGCCGTTACATTGTAATTCATTGTATTAATACATTTATCACTAATTCAATGTGTGGATATAGTTAAAACAATGTCTTGATGCCGTTACATTGTAATTCATTGTATTAATACATTTATCACTAATTCAATGTGTGGATATAGTTAAAACAATGTCTTGATGCCGTTACATTGTAATTCATTGTATTAATACATATATCACTAACTCAATGTGTTGATATAGTTTAAACAATGTATTGATGCCGTTACATTGTAATTCATTGTATTAATACATATATCACTAATTCAATGTGTGGATATAGTTAAAACAATGTCTTGATGCCGTTACATTGTAATTCATTGTATTAATACATATATCACTAACTCAATGTGTTGATATAGTTTAAACAATGTATTGATGCCGTTACATTGTAATTCATTGTATTAATACATATATCACTTATATAAGTTATATAAGTTTCGTCTGAGTATGTTGATTCTATAGGAGTTTACGAGATGCAGCACTTAGGGCGCCTCACCTTTAAGATATACTCTGATTTGTTTGTTGATTTACAATTACACGCATTATTTTGAGTCGTAAGTCACCATGTAGGTCGGTCCGGCTGTACGATATATTCGCTTACGTTTAATATTTTCCTTTAAGGATTTGTTACAAACTGGGCAAATTGGCTTTGGACCACATCTCCATCTAGTCAGGTTCGTTCTTTGAGACCAGACTGTGAGATGAACCTTTTTACGTTTATTTCACCTATGGGCGGATTATTTGCATTGTTTAAAACATTATTGATGCGTGCAGACCGCTTCACCTCAGACGTGATCGTAACAAGCCTAGGTATAAAGCCTGTTACTTTTCTACCAACTGTAGTTATTTGTGGTGTTGTGTATGGTTTCCTGTTAGCCAAGCAGCATGACAAATGAGAAGCTCCCTATATACCAATTGTGTCAGAAGAAACATTGTTGTCTAATTTGGAAACGGGAAAATGATAGATAATGTGATTTTGATGATCTGGTATCCTGTAAGACATTCTGTAAAATTTATAATTGCTGATTTATAAGAGGAAAGAACATCACTTAAGTGGCTAAGTGAGAGGGGAGGGCATTAAGCCAATGTGCTATTTGGGTATTCAGAAGGCTAGTGAGATATTTAGGAGTTACATTTGTATGTTATGAACCATTTTATAACATTGACTTCATGCTTTCGACACTTTTCCGTACAGAATGGCAAAGGTAGAGCTTATCATATGTCATTTCCTTTATTTAATTTATTACATCAGTGATTCATACATATTTGTTGTCATTACACGTGAAATGTTCTACACAACAGGTAAATAGCATTACAATAAAGGGATGGTTATCAACACTTAGTTTTTATGTCCAACATGACCGATATAGGACAATGACCAGGCAGATCAATGACCGCGTTCTCCGATCAACTAAAGAAACATTAATACACGTCGTTGAAACAATTAACATGCCAGTAAGCTATCGAGAGAGGTAAACTAGATCGTTCTGTTACAGTCATAGGTAAGAAACAGTAGTAAAGGTCTAAATGAAAGGCGTCGTCGCTTTAGTAGCAGATGACTGAACAAATCGAGATAAGTTCATTCCACGAAATCATTGAATACGGTCGAGGACATAATGTAATCTTTCAATCAATATTCAGGAAACTAATCAAGTCATCCGCATCAGTTAAAATGGTTTAAATGAAGCTGTAGGTCTAATCAAACAACGTAAGTGTTTTATTTTAGATGTTGCCTTTATTCCGAGCACTTGTTTTAATTTCAAAACTTGCGCTTACGACATTTGTTTTTTCGTAACGTTTTGCTGTATTGTCATTGTCTCTGAAACCGTCATATATATGACATTATACGGAAAATAGGTATTGATTTGAAACGCGTCATTCAGTTCATATATCCACGTACGTATTTAAACGAAATATTATAAGGATTGTATTTTTCTGCGTTTCGTCAATAAGCAGGACAACGGAACTTATATGATGTTAAATAGCACTGTTGTCTTTCACGTTGAAGCCCAAGAAGCATATAACCTTGTATAAGCGATGCGGGCATTGAATCATAAAAAGGTCAAACACTCAAAGTACCGCTACTAGCTGGAGGTTTGGACAAAGCAGCAAATGATTGGAATATTAACGACAAGAATAACGGAAATGTCAAACTTTGTATGAACGTTTTTATCCAGACTGTGGGGGGTTACAGCACCGCTACAACACCTCATTAAGGAGTGCGAATATGTGTGAGAAGAGCATGAGGGTGGAGCCGCTTTCTCGAAATAAAATAAACTCTGTGCCAGTCCTTTTTTCTTCGATGCGTTAAAAATCGTTCTACAATGTGACACCCCAGAAACCGAGTTAGGATCATGTTTGATACAGAAGGAACGCCAATCGTGAAGGAGTCGGACATAACGCTTTTCAAATGGTTGACAAGAAGAACCTGTTCGACAGTTACATCGAATGCTTCTATACATACAATGTTCAAACAAAACTGTTTACTGGAAATGGAAAGAAATGCGCATGGCCGATACGCTCAGCAGAGATATCCGACCAGATCAAGAACATACCGAGACATCATTTTCAACTTTGGGGTAATTAAACGAAAGAAAATACATTCCTATATCACATGCAAGAGCCTCCGGTGAAGACGTTGACCTAAAAACATGTGATGTTCACAATACACTGAGAGTGACCTGACAGCAAGGACAACGTGTATTTTGGAATTTGAAACTGGTTTACTCTGATGGAAGAGCTGACTGTCCAAAACAGCTTAATTTGGAGTCGTCATGCCCAGAACAGAATTATTGAGCACATGCTTCCAACTACATCGTGAATTCATGGATCCATGAGAAGGGAACAAGAAAACATGCACAGGCCCAATGTCAACGGTAACGTTGAAAGCTATGTTGGATCATGTGGCAAATATTTACCATGAGAGCGGTGAAAATGTCAGATTAAATTTTCTGTTGATACGCATGTGTAACAAAATGTGCTATAAATAAGATAATTAATGATAATGAATGGAACCATCTTCAAACGTGCAAGATAAAGGGTATCAATAGAGAGCAGCCCTTTGGTCAAAAGAACATTTGAGGTCAAATCCTACGATTTGGGTAAGACCGTGCATTAATTGACGGGGGACTGTGGAATTGTAGATAGTGCTTTGAGGCTATCTATCTAGTGGCGACCAGATCAGTCATGGATGACATAGAGATAGAAACGAGAGTGTGAACTCCCTAAAACAGACAGTGGTAACTGTCATTGCCATATGGTACATCTAGTATTGCTGTTTTGGAAGGGAAAAGTTAGCTTAGAAGTTAGAGGAGAAGTTAGATATTAAATGGCAGCACGTCCCTCATTACTTATTTACAATAGGTGGTACCTACTCATGACTAGTTAATGTTGTATAGATTATTAAAATTTCTTGGAAAGATTTAAGAAGGAATCTAGAGTGTAGAGTCGGGATTCGAGTTTCGAGAATGTGAGCCTCTGGGGAGAGAAGCCAGGGAAGGCCGCGGCCAGAGAGACAGCCCGGGTACAGCACTAGGGGTGCATGATGTTGTAATTCTATATAATCTGTGTGCAGGTAGATTTGCTGTTGTGTTCCAGAAGTACGTTTAGAAATTTACTAAAATTTGGAGATCTTGCAGAAAGAGCCTACTCCAAAATAGGGGGTATGGTCTCTGACTGTTGCGGCCACAACGTGAAGATAATAATAACAATAAGTCCACATGTGTTGTTCAGTGTGTTTTGTAACACATGTGTTGTTCAGTGTGTTTTGTAACACATGTGTTGTTCAGTGTGTTTTGTAACACATTTGTTGATCAGTGTGTTTTGTAACACATGTGTTGTTCAGTGTGTTTTGTAACACATGTGTTGTTCAGTGTGTTTTGTAACACATGTGTTGTTCAGTGTGTTTTTTAACACATGTGTTGTTCAGTGTGTTTTGTAACAGTTGTAATTCCAGTTTGCGTTGTCACAAATATGAAATTTGTCCAGATTGTGTAATATACGTGTTATTTGTCAAGATTGTCTAATGTACGTGTTATTTGCAAAAACGAACCAAAGAAAGGAATATTTTAGCAATTAGATTTAAGGGTTATTCAAGGGAACCCTTAAATTGACAGGATTTTAATATTTGTAGTTAAATGTAATTAACTGTGAATACACAACTATATCAAGTCAAAGTTTCCTCTGTCATCACACTTGAAATATACTTTTTGACAGATGTGCTGTTTACAGCTCAACATATCTGTCGAAACGTCAGAATTGTTTGGACCAGGTGATATTCTAATTTACTACATTGGACCATATACTACGTGTTATGCATATACGTAAAGTATTGTATTTTGTAAGATCTTGTTTTTGGTAAGATTTTAGTCGGTGGTAGGTAAATCTTGTACCCCGTTCCCGGACCCGGACTGAAACCCCGTACCAGGAATATAAAGATATTTTAATAACTCATTAACGCGATCGTTTATATTTTTTATAAAAATATGCAATAATTTCAAACATTATTTACCAAATGTGACAGTTACAAAAATGTTTATTTATCATCTAATAATTTAGAAATCGACGATAATGTGTATTTCAAGGGGGTAAAACTTGTACGCCGCAGTCAACCGTGAAAATCACGGTTTTCACATATATTTAGAAATTTAGGGAAAATTGACATGTTATTTTCAGATATATAGAAGAAAATACCTTACTGTTTATAATTATGTAAGTTTCGTTGAAATAAACGACATATTTCACATGAAATTCTGACTTTGTTGTGATCGCGGGTGTTTTCTTTACTCCCGTGCGTACCGTTCCGTTTCCCTTTTTGTTTTGCGTATTGGTGACTTTCATATTATCCGGAAAATCAGTCCATATCCATGTCCTTGCTTATTGTACCACATGCAACTTCCGTTTAAATTTCTCTGGTATCGATTTTCCAGTCTAAAGACGAAGTGTATGGACCATGCGATAAACTACCATTATATTCCGGAGAGAAGAAGAATGCAAGGTTTATATTTTGTTAAGGAAGCGTTACATCGAAGATATATTGATGGAGATGTTGTATATGCCTTGGATTCCAGTAGTCGGGGTCTTGTTCACATCGGAAAATGATATAGGCTGATAGGAGGGCGATATTGATATCATATATGTACTGTACTTCAAAATAGACTCCATACCCTAAGCATGAAATTAGCATCTAATGAGATGGTCTTCGATACTTGTATGATAGAAGCTTCGGTTATCTTTTATAAGAACAGACCTGTCAGTTTGGGAAATCTAAAATGGGCCTTAAGATTAATTTATCATAATATTCATGTTTTTTGAAATAGGAGAGGAATAGTGATAGAGATAGTGCCGTCGCGTGGGCTCGAACCAAGACCCTTGGCTCTCCAGCCTAATGCTCTACCGCTAAGCTAAAGGGAAATTCCCAACAGCTGACGCTTGTAAGGCAACCTAATTAATCCACTTGTCTTTTACACTAAATGTAACAGCTAGTAGAGGAAAAATGCACGGCCAGACCGGGGTTCGAACCCGGGACCTTCCAAACTCTAGACGGACGATCAAACAATTGAGCTATCTGGTCGCCGACGATCGACCCAGTCCAAGTCCGCTCCTTCCTCCCTCCTTTAACAAACTCTTTGACCCCGAAGACACACAAGACCCTATACCACCTTCTGTGGGTATATTTCATTGAGCGCCAAATGTAACAGGAGAGGAATATTGATAGAGATGGTGCCGTCGCTTGGGCACGAACCCACGACCCTTGGCTGGAGATGCTCTATCGCTAAGCTAAAGGGAAATAATTACCTACAGCTGACGCTTGTACGGCAACCTAATTAATCCACATCTTTTACATTTGGACCTCTCCTGGTTTTTAGAGAGTATTTTTCATTTATATCAACCAGAGGCCGAGAAAGTATGGACACTGTTTAAAATAAATTGGCTACTGAAATTCAAACATGGCTACTGAATTTTTAGGTCCAGGGTGAGTCCTGACAGCGTGTTATTTTCATCTAATACTGGTGTATATAGAGGTTGGTTATAACGCTACATGTGCCAAAACCTCAGGCATACAAAAACTGTTTCAAAACTTGAAAATTTGAAACCATTATAGTATTTCTTCAATATTCCCGAGGCAGATGACATTTTATCGATCCTGCTCAGGATGGGCTGATATCATCTTTTGTTGGAAAACAATCTAACAAGTATGAAATTATTCTACTGTAGCACACATGCTTGTCCTTAAAGTAAAACTATTGCTTTATGGTGTAAGATTCCAATACCTGACTCACGAGATAATTGATTGTATGTCAGCGCTTGTGAAAATATATAATATTTATTATGAAATAAAGTACAGCTAGCAGAATTTTATTAAATCTGTCTGCAAAATATAATTTTAAAAAATGTATTACGCTGCTCTTGGATTCCATTGATTCTATTACTTCTATAATATATATTTTCTTTTTCTTTTTTAATTACAGGTGGTGATGGTCTGTACAGCAGAATGTCATCAGCCCACATGTTTAGGGAGGCTCAGGATGCTGAGTTTGAACATAAAACAAAAAAGGGTATGTTTGTATTTTAATTATATGTAGTCAGTGATGTTAGAGATACTTAAATGTGACATGAGTCACAGATATTTGCTTTTGAAGTTTTCCTGTGGCACTAATCCAGATTATGAAAACCCACTTATATCAAGACCATAAACATTTTGATGCTATAACCAGGATTTACCTGAAAAATCCATCAACAAATCACTGGTATTATATGAATCCTGATTACCAGAACAATATACATGTACCACCACATTTATAAAATACATCTAGATTAACACTGATGCTTAATTATGATTTATAATCAATCAAATGAATTTAATATCAAGTTTAATTCATGAGCATCATTGAGTAAATGATATATATATTGAGAACTTTCATTAGATTAGATATTAATTATAAACAAGATATCTAACAGTGTCTTCATTAATTCTAAATTTATTTCACAAGAGTGTATAACACAAGTGAAATATATTTGGTATTAATGAAGACACTGTTAGGTATTCTGTTTATTACATTTTTAGGTCACCTGAGACAGTCTTAAGTGACCTATTGCGATCGCCTTTTGTCCGTCGTCGTCCGTCCGTAAACAATTTACATTTTCAACTTCTTCTCCAAAACCCCTGAACCAATTTCATTGAAATTTATGCAGAAACCTTCCATGGCCAAAGGTCAACAAAAATAGTTGCCGGTTTGGTCCCCAGCCACCAGGGGCCTGAGGGGCGGGGCCAAAATGGGTCAAATTGACTAAAATTTCAAAAATCTTCTTCTCAAGACCCAGATATGGTAGAATAAAATACGCTTCATGGATGGAAGGGTCTTAAGGTGCTTTACCAAAATTGTGAATTTTATGACCTTGGGGTCTCACGTTTTCACCTGGGGAGGGGGTAAACTTTACTATAGTTTATATAAGGAATTCACATTTTGGACGAACATTTGTTTAATTTCCATTGGAAGTAATTAAATTTAGGTAAGCATTATCAGTATTGGGTAGCAGTTTGATGGTATGCACATATGAGCCCTGACTGACCCCCCGGGGCTGATGGGTGGGGCCAAAAAGGATCAAATTGACTGAAATTTCAAAAATCTTTTTCTCAAGACCCAGATATGGTAGAATCAAACACTCTTCATAGATGGAAGGGTCTTAAGGTGCTCTACCAAAATTGTGAATTTTACGACCCTGGGGTCTCACGTTTATCCCTGGGGAGGGGGTAAACTTTACTATAGTTTATATAAGGAAATCACATTTTGGACCAACATTTGTTTAATTTCCATTGGAAGTAATTAAATTTAGGTTAGCATTATCAGTACTGGATAGCAGTTTGATGGTATGCACATATAAGCCCTGACTGACCCCCCAGGGCTGATGGGTGGGGCCAAAAAGGGTTGAATTGAAAAAATCTTCTCAAAGGCCCAGATATGGTAGAATCAAACACTGTTCATAGATGGAAGGGTCTTAAGGTTTATGACCCTAGGGTCTCACGTTTATCCTCTGGGGAAGGGGGGGGGAGGGGGGGGCAAAATTTATTATGGTTTATAATGGCAAATGATACTTTGAATATTACATGTTGATAACTTGATTGGCATTATAACCCTGAGTTGACAGTTTGATACTTTGAACATTTTGAGCCAGCCCTACCCCCAAGGGCTGTAGGGTGGGGCCCAAAGGGGTCAGTGTGCTAAAATTTCTTCATTTTCCTTGTTTAGAATCAAAGGTGCTAGTTTCAAATACGTTTTAGTCTTAAATCTGTATGCTAGATAATGAATTAAAAACAAAATCACCTCGCTGTATAAATATATCAGGTGACTGTTAAGGCCCATGGGCCTCTTGTTTTTTATGAAAACCTACCCCGGAACGCAAAACGACACATCATGTTGATCAATGACAATACTTGATCTGGGTACTTTTACCACTAGCATGTCTAGACAACCCTACGAGACAACATATAGTCCTCTCTGCAAAAAAATGAATAAAATGTAAAAACTCATCATTAAAATTCCTTTCGCTACTTAATTCTATTAAGTACGTACCTAAGTTCATACTTTTAATAAAATTTGCGAAATTATATAGAAAAAGTCCTGTCATATCAACTCGGATCACTACGCGTTGTTGATATGCGCCAAATACAATGGTGGGCAGTGGGGAGAATGTGGAGTTGTAATATCAACACCACCTACCACCTTTGTAAGTTATACCCTGATTCTCTTATACTTCTACCAATCGTTTGGCTCAAATTTAGACTTAGAGACGCTGATACCGTGTTTCATTTATTATGAGTTTTCTCCTATCAAATAGTTCATGACCGGCATAGTCTGCTGACTTTCATGTAAATGAAAGTTAAATGTTGAATCAAACGTTATGTTTCTCCCAGAGAATAATTCCCCCATGATATAGGTAACAGATGATTATTCTGGGCAGTAGCTATAGAAAGGGCTGATGTCTCAGACAGATTTCTCAAGGTCTGCATATCCTTAAGCTTACCAGGCTTTTACCAGATGAGCCACTTGTAATTTTTCTCAAGGTAGTTTGTGATCAGTGTTTAGATTGGTCAAATCAGCAAAAGTGATATTTTTCACTATAGTGAATGAATGATTTTCAATATTTCACTATTAAAAATGTTGTTATATATTTACTAGTTTATCCCAAAAATAGGATTTAAGAAGAACTAGTTTTTCTATCTCTGTTTGATTTTACTTGAATCAAGAGAAAAAAATGATATCAGCTAACATGATGTTACTGGGGTGGTATATATGAAAAACCACTATTGAATCTTTACTGTCTGGCCTGTAGTGAAACAGGGTTCTTTAAATAATACTATTTATCATATGAATACCATGTTATGCAGTGTCATAAAGCCATCACATAAATTATGTTAATGTAACGTGTGTAATATCACTCGGGAAATGACGTCAAAATCAAATAGGAACAATCAATGTGACTCACGTCATTGTGAAGAGGACGCAATTTTCATCGTTTCATATGCGGCCAAGTGCAAAATATTTACTTCAGATATCGCAATTATACAGTTTACTTTGTATTATATGATTTAAAGAATCTGTCATTCGTTTCCCTTCATATTACATTTATGATACTCATTTTGGATTTTTCATATTTGTTCGCCCCAGAATCACAAACATGAAAAATACAAAACTTGTATCATCAATCTAATATGATGGGAAACTTATGACAGATCCTCTATTTCTAGATTGTTTTTTCCATCAAAGACGAACAAACACTTTATAGCAAAAATAACATAACAATATTTTATAATATATGGATGTTCATTTTACATGTAAGTTTATATATTATGAAAATATACACCATATTTAATATTTTTACAAAATGATAATTTGCAATAATGCAGTACTAGTATTACCTAATAATTTTCTTCTTCATTCTTTATCAGTAGCAGAGAAGATCTCAGAAGGTATGAACATTGTGGCTAATGAGCCGTCCTTAGCATTCTTCAGAATCCAGGAACATGTGAGGAAGTCTCTACCACAGTTGGTGCAGCAGAAGGTAAGGCGTTGTATTGATATTTTGTGTGTTTAGACCTGCATGTGAACAAATATGTATCATAAAATTCTTCAATATATTAAACTGTTGATAGTTGCTGCTGATTGATTGTGGTTAAGGGTTGATTGTCGTATTAGCCAAAATTAGGATGTTACAGCATATCCTTACCAGATATAAGTAAAATTAGAACATGTCATAAAGATCAATAAGCATATATTTGATTATTTTTCTCATATATTTTTACAACCATAAACCTAATATATCAGGTGTAACAGGTGTATATTGAATTGACATCAGGCGACTAATGAATGCCCCCCCCCCCCCCCCCCTCCACACACAAAAAAGAATCGTCGGTTCTCGTCTATTTTTTCTGCTTTGTACAAGGAAAATACCAAAATTAGTTTGCCACCTCTATTTCACATACTAAAACAAAACCTGATCTTATTCCTCATGTTTGTTCTTATATTTTGGAATTGTTGCCTTAGGCGATCATCTAAAAATGACCATGGCTGTTGTGAGGATATAAGTTAAATTATGAACAGCACAAAACCCTGAAAAATCATCACCTTTTGCTAACAAAGAACTTTTTTTTCTGCAATAGCTCCTTTCCATTGTATTGTATACACAAAATGAACTGAACAAGATAAAGCAAATGAAAAAAGAAATGATGAGCAACAACACCACTGAATCCGGTACAAAATGTAATGTCTGATTTACATGCTACATGATCATGAACCAGATAGAAACAGATCTCTTTGTCATATTTTTGTAAAGGTATTATCTGGATATACTTGGAATAAGCAGATGTAAGCTTAAACGGGGGTGAAGATTTGATCAGTAATTTATCTCACAACAGACGTCATAATTCAATGACACAGCTTTACTTCAGGATTACTGTATACGTACCACTTCCCTGTAACAAAGTACTGGAAACGGATTACTGTACCACTTCCCCGTAACAAAGAACTGGAAACAGATTACTGTACCACTACCCTGTAACAAAGTACTGGAAACGGATTACTGTACCACTTCCCTGTAACAAAGAACTGGAAACAGATTACTGTACCACTACCCTGTAACAAAGTACTGAAAACAGATTACTGTACCACTATACCCTGTAACAAAGTACTGGAAACGGATTACTGTACCACTTCCCTGTAACAAAGTACTGGAAACAGGTTACTGTACCACTACCCTGTAACAAAGGACTTGAAACGGATTACTGTACCACTTCCCCGTAACAAAGAACTGGAAACAGATTACTGTACCACTTCCCTGTAACAAATTACTGAAAACGGATTACTGTACCACTACCCTGTAACAAAGTACTGGAAACGGATTACTGTACCACTACCCTGTAACAAAGAACTGGAAACAGATTACTGTACCACTTCTCTGTAACAAAGTACTGGAAACGGATTACTGTACCACTTCCCTGTAACAAAGTACTGGAAACAGATTACTGTACCACTACCCTGTAACAAAGTAATGGAAACGGATTACTGTACCACTTCCCTGTAACAAAGTACTGGAAACAGATTACTGTACCACTTCTCTGTAACAAAGTACTGGAAACAGTTTTCTCTGGCAGGGTTATAACTTCAATAAATCATTTCTGAAAATAAAATCATACCTTGCAAGGCTTTTATTAGACATGCTAAAGATGAAATAAACACAAGATAATCAACAAGAGTGTTATGAGTGTAAAATTCAGCATAACTTTAGTGGGATTTGAAACCAGGACCTCAGATTGTTATGCTATCACTGGAACCATTTGAACTACCTTGTCAATTGAAGTGTCCTGGTCTTGCTGTGCTACTGTAATTTCCAAATGGAGGTTAAAGTCTCTGTACGTATACAAAAAAACACAGTACAGTGTGACAGGTAGAATTACATGTATTGGGAATACTTTGCCAAGGGAAGTAATTCTGAACTAGAAAAAAAATATTAAGGTCATAGGAGTGTATTGCTAAACGGAAATAGGAAGTACATCCCTAGTTGAAAATCCAATGTAGGGAGACAGTATCACAACTTCCGCATAATCTAATGTTTAATATTAAAGTGATGAATATTGTATGCTTATTATAGACAGAACAGTGTGTTCTTTCAATATTAAAGTATTGCAAAGCAATCCAGGCATTAATTCAGTTGTTTTTTAATCAATGAGTCACATGTGTCCGTTTTTCTGTACTTCAGAAACCGGCTACCTATTTCAATACTGTGAAGTTTTTCAAGAACGATAACTCTTGCACGCAATTACTATGTGTATATGGTTTAATCATAAAATATCAATCTTTAATCGTTTATAGATAATTCATTTTACACAATTTCAGCGTTTATGAAATTGATATACATTAATGCAATACTAATCTATGTTAGTATCATTTTTTTTGACATTATTTTGCACACAATTGTGTTTCTTTTTTTTTTCAAAATTCACTCCTTTTTACATAAATTTCCTTTTAAAATCCTTAAAATTCTGACAATCTATATTCTTTTGTGGCAGAAAATTTTCTTTACTTCAAAGCAATATATCTTCAAAATTTGAATAAATTCTACTGAGAAATGGCGACACAATCCTATTATGTTAAGCTAAGAATGCTCAGAAGGAGAACTAAAATAAAAATCTCCGAATTGGAACTATTATTCACAATTATATCTTGTTCAGTGACAACCTCTACCTTTCAAAAATTTGAATATCCAGAGAAAGCATTAGATACAAGATTTTTTTATTTAACGTCGCATATTTAAAACAGAAAACATTAGCACTATCGTGCTATCCTTGCGACAAAAAGCATTTGCTTTTTGGAACAGATTTCTGCAGCAGTAAGTGTATATTTCAACTAAAATCATGTTGAAACTTTGCAGTTGCAATCAGGAAGAATTTCATGTGGAATGGATGGTTATATTCCTAATAAAAATATTTCAAGTTGGGAGATTCTGTCGGGCATCAAAATGTCTACTGAAAGCTTTTTGATCAGTTTTCAGACATCGATCGATGACCACAAGACCCCCTTTAGCAAGACTTAAGTTTGTGACTGGACACCATTATAATAATCCTTTGTTATAGTAATGTGTCCTGGTCAGGACCATTTACATCGTATACATTCTCTTAAGGATCCCTGTCCCATTGCACTATGCTTTTTCTTACATGTATATATACAGGACATCCCCAACTTTGGAGCTTTTTCCTATATATACAGTAGCGTCCCCAACTACTGTTTGGAGCCTTTTCCTATATATACAGTAGCGTCCCCAACTACTGTTTGGAGCCTTTTCCTATATATACAGTAGCGTCCCCAACTACTGTTTGGAGCCTTTTCCTATATATACAGTAGCGTCCCCAACTAATGTTTGGAGCCTTTTCCTATTTATACAGTAGCGCCACCAACTACTGTTTGGAGCTTTTTCCTATATATACAGCAGCGTCCCCAACTAATGTTTGGAGCCTTTTCCTATATATACAGTAGCGTCCCCAACTACTGTTTGGAGCTTTTTCCTTTATATACAGTAGTGTCCCCAACTACCGTTTGGAGCCTTTTCCTTTATATACAGTAGCGTCCCAAACTACTGTTTGGAGCTTTTTCATATATATACAGTAGCGTCCCCAACTATTGTTTGGAGCTTTTTCCTATATATATGTATATATACAGTAGCGTCCCCAACTACTGTTTGGAGCTTTTTCCTTTATATACAGTAAATTCCTTTAACTACTATTTGGATATTTTGGGAGTTTTCCAATGATTAGGTAGCTCAATTGGTTATGGCGATAGTTTAACAATCTGAAGACCGGGGTTCAAATTTTGTTTTTGTTCATCTTAATTATTTCTCAGAAAAGTCATGTAAGGTGTAGTTTTCTTTTCAGAAATGATTTATCAAAATTATAGTTATGTCAGAAAATAAATTTCAAACACATAGTGACAGTTTTGGGCAGTGGTACAGAGATCCTTAAATAGAACCAAATGCAGGAACAACATAAGAACCTTAAGTCTTGATCTGTAGAAGTCCTGTTATGTATATACATGTATAATCAGAAATTTGTCATTCAAGACATTTTCGAAGGAAACAATATTATTGTCCAACCACAATTTAAATTTACATGAACCCACTAACATCTGTTTCTTTAACGTGTTTGATTACAGCATGAAGTACAGGAACTACAACAAAGAGTCCAAGGAGCCAGTTTTGATACTGAATATGCCACTAAGTAAGTCATGGTATTTACATTCACCCCTGAAATTTCATAATTATGAGTTAATACATTATTGGAATAAAATGGTAGTAATTGTGTATGTATTGCTGGTGGTACATGAAGTTTTGTGTCACACACTGACTTTCTGGGTTTAATTTTCCAATGTTAAAAAAGGATCATTGTCATAGAAATCTCAAGCTTTCAGGGTTCACACCAATGTTTGACATTTTAAGGTCATTTATATGATGCCACGCTCCTGTAGTTAAAGTGTGTTTTCATTTTGTTTGGATATTTCGCAAAAAACAGTACTTGGTAATAGGTCATTGTCTATGGACAATTGTGGGATACCATCAGATATGCATTTAAAAAAAATATATTTGGAAACAGTGATAACAAAGGTTCCTTTTCAATTGTAAAACATTGCCCTGGCTCGTGGTTTATCCACAACAACAAAAGCCCCCATTATCACAGCTGAATATATGGACACCAAATAGTAGTATCAGTGAAAGTAAGAACAAAAGACTTCTTACAAAAATGTATCGCACCAAAAATCCATGACAAGATGAAAATTTCCGTAAAAAAAAAAGAAAATCATTATCAAGTGTCAACAGGTCTGTGTTACATATTTATATGAAGACTTGTATAAGGAATTTGATTGGTATAGAAAGTTTAAAAATATGTGTATCAAATACTTCAATTTTGCGACATGCGTAAGGTAATGCAGATGTTTAGGGAATCAAGTACACTATGTAGTTTGCTTAACGTATAATCACATATTCGCCACTAGCGCCACCACTTTCCTTTTATGTCTGATATCTCCTTATATGGATTTTAATTTCTCCTTATATTTAAAATTCATTTATTTATTGAAAACTCTCCTTATTTACCTCCCTTTTTTGAATTATACATGATGTTACATAGCTATCTTCATGGTTTATCATAAATTTTCTAGGTTTTATACATATTTATTCCGTTTCTAGGTTTTATACATATTTATTCCGTTTCTGGGTTTTATACATATTTATTCCGTTTTTCTTCATTTTAGTGCTGTCAAGGGTTTGCATAAAAGTAATAACCACTTCCAGAATATCCAGGACCTGCTAAAGAATGCCATGTTTATGAAGCAGCAGATTGACTATGAACAAGACAGGAGGTGAGTTTTGCTTGTTAAATATTACTGTAGTTGTTATGTGTTTTCTGTAGTTGATAAAGGTTGATTTAATTACATATAACACCAAGAATCGGTATAAATTACTGAAGTCGTTACGTGTTTTCTGTAGTTGATAAAGGTTGATTTAATTACATTTAACACCAAGAATCAGAATAAATTACTGTAGTCGTTACATGTTTTCTGTAGTTGATAAAGGTTGATTTAATTACATATAACACCAAGAATCGGTATAAATTACTGTAGTCGTTACATGTTTTCTGTAGTTGGTAAAGGTTGATTTAATTACATTTAACACCAAGAATCAGAATAAATTACTGTAGTCCTTATTTGTTTTCTGTTGTTGGTAATGTTTATTTCATTACATTTAATTTAATACAATAATCTCTTCAAATTACTGTTGTCATTATATATTTTTTGTAGTTGGTAATGGTTTATTTCATTACATTTATTTTGACATCAGTAATGTTTAATTATACATAGTGTACTGCCCATTTAGCTTCCTCTTGATATATTACTATGATAGTGTTGACCCTATATGAGATACATTATGTCAACTATCACGAAAAACACATTTTTTTAGTGTGTTTTTTATATAACGTAATATAATTCTTAAATAAACAAGATATCATTTTTTTCTGGTAAAGAATATGGTTCCCAAAATCTTATTTGAATTGTTATTCAACCTACCAAAGGGAGGTAACTTATTGTATTTTTGCATACTCCTCCTGAAACGTCTATTTATCAAAGTTTACAAAACAATTTCACCTTTCAAATATAACACCGACCACAATTCTAAAGAATGTTAGTACACATACATGTATATATTTCCATGTAAAATCTGTTACCAGGGTCTTGAACTTTCTAGAGTGATTTTTGTTCAGTCCTTTTTTTTTAAATGTCAATCATGTTGCTAATGACGCTTGGCTTGAAAAAGAGTCATAATGTTTAGATTTAGTTACAGTGATAAAGTAATTCAAATAAAGCCAGAATTTGTTTCTTTCCTATAACTTGAAATATTTTCTGAAGAAGTTGCAGTCTGGCTAAACAATAAAGGTGATGTAAATATGCCTGAGAAACTGATTTATAATTCCATTTTTTTTATTGCCAATATGCAATCAGGCAGTTGGTAGATCTGAACTGAGCCTGACCTCTGGAAAATTTGTGACATGCATATTGGGGGTTCCAGCCATAGCAGACTGAAACTAAAATGACCATTCTTTGTTAGTTTGTGTTACTTCTGAATATTTGATTCACATCTGCGTATTATAGAACATGTAATAAATGTATTGCATTCATGGTGTAGTTCCACTCAATCAGTGAAAGTCCACCAATAAGTGAAAGTCCACCAATAAGTGAAAACTCACTGTGTGACTCAAATTCACTTGCTGGATAAAGAAACTATTTTCATAAAGTTAATTCAATTACAGAAGTTCTGCTTATCAAAATAAAAAGAATTTAGATATATGAGATCACATTACTCATACTGGAAATTCATTAACTGAATATTAATCAATATTCCGAGTGAATTTCCTCTCAATATTTCCTCTCAGTGAGTTTAGCTAAAATTTGAACATTTAAGCACACAACTAAAAGTCAATGTTTGACAAATACCCGACTTGTTTTGTAACGCTGCCACTTAAAGAGACCAGGAGAAGGTAAGACCTAGTATGTACGGTACAGCAAAGCAACAGAGTAGTGCCTCCGGGGGCAGACATTCCCTCCCTTCTACCCCTACCACTAGCAGTCCAGGGGGCAGCAGTCTGAACACGCCAACACACACAACGAACACCCCTACAGGTCGGAGGTCCAGGTCTTTGCCCCCCTCCAAATTGAGTAGCTCTACAACTAAGGGAACCGGATCACCTAAATGCATTCATACATCTCTGTAAGTTATGTGTTTATAGTTAAACCTTGCATTCATACAACTCTGTAAGTTATGGGTTTATAGCATTCATACATCTCTGTAAGTTATGGGTTTATAGTAAAACCTTGCATTCGTAACCTATAGCTGGTTGTCTCTCATCCTTATTACTTAGAGGAGATGTAATCAGTTATTGGCCTTCGATAATGAAAACCACTTTAAGAAACTTTTTTTTACCTGAGAGCCATGATTCAAACTTTTGAGAGAACAGTTCTTGATCCAAGAGACCATTGATTAGATACTGCCTCTTAATCTGAGAGCTAGGTCTTAACCTGAGAGCTAGGTCTTAACCTGAGAGCTAGGTCTTAATCTGAGAGCTAGGTCTTAACCTAAAGCATGTAATAACTGAGAAAGTTTCCTTTGAGGCTGCCTCTTGATCTAGAAGAAATATATTTCGAGAATACCTTTTGATCTAACAGAAGTCTCATTTGAGGGCACTTTTGGAAGATGTCTTATCGCCTTTTGATATGAAAGAAGTCTCCTTTGACCACATCTCTTGATCTGACAAATGACTCCTTTGAGACCACTAATTGATCTGAAAAAGTCTCCTACAAAAACTCCCCTTGATCTAAACAAGATGCGTTTTATTGATCTCTTAAGACAAGATGAAATTGATCGTTGTCCTTTACGCAATCAGTTACTCCAAACATATTGATAACTTACCATGTGTGCCCAACGGTCAGACACCAAAACAAAAGTTTTTTGCTCATTTAAAGATCTTCTTATTTTTTGGTTGTCAAAAATGTAATGTATGTAATCATTCAGAAGATATTTTATCTAATAAATTTAATAAAAGAAGTTAATTATCTTCTTTTTTTTAAAGAACACAATTAGAGTTTCTTTCTGTTATTTGCTGTACTTCATACTTGAAATTTAGTGTCTATCCTTTTTATACCAATTATAAGTATGTGTTTAATTTGTTTGAATTTCTATACTCAATTCTTTTTATTTTAAAAAATCACATTTCTCCTGAAAATTTCAGAAACTTCTCACCTGTTATTTTGTTGTGCAGTCAGTAGGTAGTTTTGTTGTGTGTATCACCCAGGCATTTAGATGAACACTGCCTGTTTGTTGTGCAGTATATTTACATTAAACAACCGTTACTATTTATAATTCATAATATGTATATGTTATGCAATGTATTTGGAGAGTTAGATTCAGCAGGGTTCTTCGCAGTAGGCTTTAGCAAGTAGAAAAATAACGAACAATTAATACCGTAAATAATGTGTTCATCTTATGTCCTAGACAACGTAACATTTATTGTGCAAATATGTCCTCGAGTAGATATGTACACTTGCCAGCTTTCTTTATTTTTGTTTCAACAAAGACCAACCACATTATTTAACATAAAAAATGTCTAAAAAAAGTTTGTAAAGACCAATAGCCATACCTGAAGCTGTTCAATGGAATATGATTTAATTGAATTTCAACGAAGAGCAAGTTGTGGGGAATACTGTTGATATCAGAAGTAAACTGCATTTGTTTCACTGAAAAATGTAGAATTCTTTAAATGAAAATATGATCTTATTAAACTGGTGAAAAACCATGTTGTAAGTTTTGCTCTAGGTTAACAAACAAAAAAGATAATGCTCTAGGTGATCAATTAAGTCCTACACGTATTTACTTTCCTTCTCCACTACATACACTGTACAGTATAATATGCAGTGCCAATCCTCTACAGCAATCTTATTTCAATGAACCATGGTGATTTAAACGTCCATTACAATTCACTTCTGGGTGTGGGAGTCTAAACCGTATGCCTATAAGGACACTATACTTAAACTCTTTCAATAGAATAAAAGAACTAAAAGACTGTACAACTGACAAGGACAGATCCAAAGTTATGTTATCAGACTTTTATTTGGTCATTTAAGTCAAATTATTAATCGAGAATGCGATATTCCTTTCTTCTTTACATACAATTGTTAACTCCTAGATCTCGCTGAAAAAGAAAAGCAGTGTAATTCAATACATAGGGAAACCAGATCTGTGTGTAATAAGAGTATCCCTATATCAAATTTGTATGCTTTTTAGTGTATTTGTTTTTTTTCTTTTTCTTATTCTTTTATATATTCCAAACCCTTTTTTATTTGAAATCAATTTGTTCTCAGAGAAGAAATAATGATGTGCTAATCGTCGCTTTTAACAACTAATCAAACTAATTCTTTGCTTTCTCTTGTTGTGAGGAAAAAAAACTGATTTGATTCATCTGATTTCTTCAGGTGAAAGCATATTTGAAATTTTACAACTCATTAATGAATGTTTCTTTTGCGGAATTATTCGGCAAATTTTACACTGATTTAAGAAAGATTTATCTATCAAACGCCAAGTCATACTACAGATTAGTAGCTAACATGTTGGTGTACTTCGTGACCCATCTATTAAGTATCAGAGTTGATGGCCATAATTTAAATGTATTCGTTGTTTTTGGTTTGCAGTGATGAACCCGTGATGCCCGCCCCACCGCCAAATGTATCTGCTGGGCCATCGTCTGTATACGGATCGATCAACTGCTCCTGACATAACAGCAGCAAACCATACAGATTGTGGACAGTTGCAGGCTTAAAGTCTATAAATACATCCAACTTTTTATAAAATATAAACTGCTACGGAGCCTGATGAAGAAACGAGCTTGGGATGACATGGTAGATATGTGTGATATACACTGTATCTGAGATTGTAACAGCTGTTTCAGAGTACATGCAAATCTGCCTCAGTGACCACAGCTAAGGATATCTCTATGTTCCAATTTCAACATAGCTGGTATTTTATGTAATGCCGCCATTAGATATTTTGTTTGTCAAATCTCGTAAAGCAGTTAACTATATATTTTTGAGCCTTCTCTTGGTTTATTGACTTGGCATTATGAATGTAAAAGTGCTAGACATAGAGTTGACAAAGCTGAATTTTATACTGGATATTACGTGACTCGTTGATATGTCGCGACAGATTTTGACGTATCTTTTTGCAGATGACACATATCATGAAATATCTTATTTGTTTGTTCCTACTATTTATTCATATTTTTCTCAAGCTTTTTTTATTGTTATAAATTCAATATGTCAAATTAACACCGAAGCAGTACAAAAATATGAGCATTCTTATTGGTAATATTGGAGAAATGGCCATTCTAATGGCTTGTAACTTTACATGAGAGCCGCCTATTCTCATTGTGCTATACTTTTCATTGAAAGGGCTGTCTCGAAATGTATCTGAGCTGCATCACAAGAGCATGTGCAGTAAGTGTCCTCTATAGCAGGTGAAAGTTGTTCTGCTAAATACAGGTATTACAACAGTTACATACTTATGATGTGCTCATGCGAAGTGCTTTTGATTTTGATATACTAGGCCTATAACTTAAGATTTTAAATCAACTTTGATTATTGCTATTTATAAAAAGTAACTACATTCTCCTATAAATAGTATAATGTTGCCAATATTTAAAGCATAAGGCAACTTTAAAATATTCGATTTACCATTAAGGTAATATTTGACATTTGTTTGTAATAATTGAAAATAGTACTTTTTCATAGACGTCTTTATTATAAAGTCATAATGGTAACGATCTATACCAGTGATCCTTACAAGTAAATGGCTGTTGTATTTGATGTAAAATGAATATTTGGATAATTCAGTTATTTGTAGGAAATGTCAAATGAAAGAATCGTTTTATATCTGTTAGTTAGGTAATTATTTGTCATGTTAACAGTTTTTCCCGGTGGACAGCATGAAAACAGGAGAAATGTTTTTGTTTACTTTTGGCGTATCAATGTCAAATCAGTTCCCATTTTTTTACGAATATAATTTAAGCACCAAAAACATTTACATGAGATAGCAACATGATAGTAATGGTGTCTATAAAAACTGCATGACTTACTGTGGGTGCTGTTTTCATTTCAGAGTAAAATTTGAAATGAAGCATTTTGTTCTTGTATTTCTGTCTTAAAAAAAGCAAAAAGCATCCCAGTTTAATGGATGCAGGCAAGTTATAAAATGTACTAAATAACAGGTTGAAATGTGTGGAGATTACTGTCGTCACATTATCTATCATTTTATTAAAAGAAGATCGTTTACATTCCTGTGTTATTGTAAAAATAGATGTTAATCCAATGACAAACCTGTGCAATATGTAATGAAAATATGTTTATAAAAATAAAAAATGAAAACCTACGACGTAGTATTTTGTGAATGGGATTCAGCTATGGTGTCACCACCATTATCGGCCATGTGTTCAATGTAACTTTCCCTAGTCTGTTCCCTGTGCTCGGTTAACACATATCTACAAGAACTATTTTAACAGAAGTATCGGTCACGCATTATTCGATATTTTATCCTGATATGGCTTTTCAAGTGATAACGGAAGGCAACAGCTTAAGGAATAATGGTGGAAACGGTGACAACATTACTCCGGTGTACGATAATAAAATTCAAGGGAAGTGTTCATATAAACAATTGAAAACTTTTTAATAAAATATCAATTCAATTTTTAACTTCATTTTTACGCAATTGTGACATCAAAATGTCCAAGAACTATTTTTTGCGAAAATATAATATCAAAAAGTTCTTTTTATCGATACATGCAGATAAAGAAATAATAATCACGAGCTTCCTGGTAGATGCATGTGCGTCTATCTCTTCACACATGTAGAAGTCATTTTGATTTCCTTATTCATGTAACAAGAATAGAGAAACATTGAATTAGCTCCAATAAACATCAAGACGGTGGGTATAGGCCCGACCACACTGATACAAGCAGATCTGTACAATACCAGGTCGTTAGTGGCGAACGACAGACAGTCTATCAATATACACACGTTTGATATACCATTCATTGCTATCTCTGTCACGGCCATGCTTAAAACGACTCTTGTAGGAATAGTCAAATATCTATTTTTACTATGAAAATTTGCTTCATTTTTGACGTCCACATGCAAATAATGTTCAGGTTTTCCAACCACTACTGCACTTCCTTTAGGTGTGTACTCTGATGTATATCGCCTCTGAAGAGTTTTGATAGTGATAATCACGACATAAAGAAGGATAATCGAAGGTAAAGTCCCCAAAAACAGGTTTCTGGTGATTATCCAGGATATTCCCAATGTTTTCGGGTCACCAGTATATTCGCTGTAACTGATACAGGACACAGAGTCAATGTGTGTGTAGTTTGTGGTATTTGATACTGCTTCCTCCTGCAGATTTCGCTCTGACACTTCAACAGCAAGCAAGAGTACAATATGTATCGGAAGAGTTATACAATACACCACAAACACAATCACTAAAGCTTTTGTATACGTCCACCACAAATTTGCCCTCAAAGGGTAGCGAATGGCAGTACATCGCTGGAAACTTAACACACAGGTAAGAATTTATGCGCCCGTATGAGGAATTATCGGTATCAGTTAAAATATACTGAACAAAAAAAAGAAACGCACAATTAAATTATGCAATCAATAGCCTATGATATTTTGGGAAATTTGTACAAAATTTTATATCAATATGAAGGGACAAGTCTACTCTTTACAATACTGTAGAAGAAAAGTCTGTGTGACGTCACTCGTGTCATCAGTTGTTACTCAAAGTGGGATACCCGCGAAAAACAAAATAATACTTCAGTACCTGGTGTGGGCACCTTTAGCACGAATCCCTGCACGGATTCTCATATGCATTGAATTCATGAGAAATATTATTCGCCTTAAGGGAATGTTGTTCCATTCTTGTGTTAATGCTGCGATCAACTAGGCGCGGTTAGTTAGAGGGTGTTGACGTTTCCTAATACGCCTGTCCAGCTCATCCCACAGATGCTCAATGGGAGACATGTCGGGGCTATATGGGGGCCATTCCAGAGGCTGAACGTTGTTTGCCGTGAGAAAATCACGACAGACTCTGGCAGCATGCGGTCGAGCATTGTCTTGCTTGAAAATTAGGTTATGACATCTGAGAAGTGGAAGGACATGTGGTTGGAGGATCTGGTCTCTGTATCGAACGGCATTGATGTTTTGATCCAGGACCACTAAGGGGGATTTTACTGCATGGGAGATGTCTCCCCAAACCATTACAGAAGCCCCACCGAATCTATCGCGTTCAACCACCCATGCGTCGGCGAAACGCTCACAGTGTCTGCGATATACCCTTTTTATTCCGTCTGAGCGATACAGACAAAATCTAGACTCGTCGGTGAACATCAAATGCCTCCATCGACGCATCCCAAACCTATTCGGGCCATGTCTGCGCTTCCAGTCAAAACGCACTTGCCGCCTCCGTGGTGTCAGAGGTGGCCCGACATAAGGTCGGCGCGCAATGATTCTCTCGGCATGCAAGCGGTTCCTGGCAGTTTGAGGACTAATGGGTCTGCCATGAGTACCTAAGGCATGCGACGCAGTCTCTACAGCAGTCTTGAATCTGTTGCGCAAGTGCGACAATCGAATCGCCCTGTCTTGTCGTGCGGTCGTTACACGCGGACAACCCCCTAGCACGATAGGAAACTAACCCAGTAGCACGGAAACGTGTACAGAGACGATTAATTGTACACGGGCCAACACCAAACTGCCGTGCGACAGCAACATCGCAATTGCTCTTCCCCTCTGAATTTGCGTTAGAGATTTCCCAGCAATCGAAAATAATGCTACAATTGGTAGGATGAATCCATGTAATACTCTTGTAAAGTTCATATTTGTTTACTTATTAAAATAGAGTAAACTCGAGTTGTTTGAATCCAATAATCTCTCGTCTGGTTTTCCAATTATCAAGGCTTTGTGGTAGACGACAAAATATGCCTTCGTTAACCTCGTCTGTACAAGTTTTCCGAGTAATACCGCCGTTTTCACATTCCATCCAATTTTGCTGGATGTGAAGGTGTCTGGATTACCAGGGCTCTGGTGTATGAGGGTCTCCCTTGTACAGTTTCGTCTTTGGGCCTGCTTCTTAGATTGTGTGGTTGTTATGAATAGGGTAATGCCAATCTAATCTCGCCGATACATCACCACAAATAATCCCAAGAGTTCTCTTGGATGTGATCATTATTTACGCGCATTAGTTAAGGTAAATAAAATGATCATATCGTAATAATAATTTCCCAGGAGGTTTGTATATAGGCAAAATATTTGTATTGCACGTAGTGGAATTTAATTTCAGATCAAAAACAGTACAAAGAAGTCAATTAATGTTAAAACATAGACTCTTGAAACAAGCGTCTTTCACTAAATACACAAAAGTGATTTGTTTGTTGTATGTTAAAGAGATACTTTGAAAAAACACTGAATTTAATTGTTATTGTTTTTCTTCGTCGATATTGATAATAAAAATGTTGAACGGGGAATGATGTACTATCAAGTACATCGTTAAGTACTGGTAAATTAAAAGCATCAACGCGAGTAAAAATTTCTTAACTTCTATTCAAAGTTACCCAATTGAAGACATCAACGTTGAGAATTTCTTTTCTATAATGTTATAGATTTTTGGTCAATTAGAAACACATGATTTATTAACCGAAGACGAAATAACCGTACGGTGAAATTTGTTTCGGTATATCAAAAAACATGTGTGTGTGTGTGTGTGTGTGTGTGTGTGTGTGCGCGCGCGTAGGTGAGTGTGTGTGTGTCACGTTCATCTTTCTGTTTTGTACAATAAATCAATAAGAGTAAAATGAAGAAGAACCTTGTTTTGGAAATATAATCGATCAATGCAAAGATCAAATAGTGACGTTACAATGTACATGTATGTCTCCGCCCGAGCAATTATAAAGATTTATTAAATACTTACTAATAAATAGGTTTTTTTTGTATATGCGATATGACACAATTGCTCTAACCCATATCAGTCCTCGCCGTATCACACCCCAAAACCCGTATCAGCCCGCAAAACCCGTATCACACCCCTTTTGGAAATGTTTCGTTTTTCAATATTTCAAAAAAGATAGTAGTTTTTATTAGTAAGTATGTAATAAACAGAATAAAGCACGCCTTTTTCCATATCACACCCAGTATCAACCCTCGACCAATATCAGCCCGAGGGCCGAAAAGGGCATGTATTATTCTCTGTTTTACCCAGTTAATAACACTACGAAGATAGGTATCACACTGAAATATTTGGAACTCTCAGTATTTGTAGTGAGAGAAAAGATATGTCTTCTCATATTGATGTTTTGATTGAACGCCACGTTGTTTCTTAAGGTCCCGTCTTCATCTGTGACTTAAGTTGTTGTGAGGACATGAAACCCCCGAACACAATGTTCCAGTATTTACTAAAGGAAAATATTCTTATGGTTGTGAAACAACAGATATTCAACGAGAAACCATTAATTCTCCTTTTGTGTCAATTGTACTTGGAAACATCTTGGTCCTGTTCAAACAGGTAAACCTCAAAAGTAATTCGATAGAAAACAAAATAATGTTGATTTCCAGAGTTCCTAAAAACTCATATAATATTTCCTTTGAAAGAATTTTAGTTCTTAAAATACAAAATATATTTGACAACATTAATTAAGATATGCAGTATATTGTTTTTGAGTTATCATCATGGTATGGACAAGATATATCCGTTTAACATATATTGTATGGATTCCGTTTCACAAGGAAAGGTCGCAAAATAGCTACTGACATCAGTCCATATCCGTTTTTGATTCCGAAGTAGGCGTAGGCTTTCAGAATGATTAATATAATCTATTCTTGATCATCATCAATAAAGGGATCTGTTTAATTGATAATGTTATCTGGATTGCATTGGTAACGTTCGTGCCTCTGTCAACATGTCGTGTATGGTTTACTCTCCAGTCAGTTGGTTGTATGTTGATATATGTGAGAAGTCAATATAACGGAAACAAATAAAGTTGTTTACTGTTTCTGTTATCATTGGTGTCCTACATTGCTTCCTAAAATCCACGGGTGTTTTGTTATCGATTTTATTCCTGTCTCTCCTAACGGTGGTTGTTGTTGACTTTGCCTATTCCTATTTTGATGCGTTGGTTTCGCCCTGCTTTTTACTAATATTAGAGAATCCGTACGTATCGTTCACATGAACAATATTACACAAATTGCGTAAACAGTTGCCTGGTTTAAAGGTAATGTATTGTGGGCTTCTGGTGAATTTTCCATCAGGACATAGCTCTGTGATTACGTGAATGTCTCGGATCTCTCCACCTCAAGTGTCGTCTAAAAATGATTTGGTTGGATAGT